TGTATCCAGTATCTGTTTTTATATTTGATCCCCAACAGTGGGAAATCTTCTGGCCTAATTGGACACAGGTTAAAGGCAGAAGAAATATCTTGTTTACCAAGTTCAGTCCCTTTACCCAATATTTGAATTTTTTCAATAACATTGTCAAACTTGGAGTAATGAACTGAACAATACTTTGAATCAATAAAATCATTAACTCCATTTCCTATAGGATGAGACAGGTTAGTAATCAATCTCCAACCCCCTGATTTTTTGGGGACTAATCCCAGAGGATTGACTCTTAAATTAGAAAATGGTTTTTCATTAAATGGGCCTAAAATCCGACCAAGTTCAACTTCTTTAATTAATTTTGCTTCTAATACCTTTGGATTTAAAATGGCAGATTTTAAGTTTTTTGATTCATAACTAATCTGTTGGCCAGAGTACTGGAGTCCAAATCCTTTTCTAAAACCATTCAAAAGATATTTTTGTTCAGCAACCTCATAACCCTTTAACCATATCTTTAAACGTTTTATGTCAATTGGTGATGTGCCTAACTCCAACAAACGCTCGAGGAGCACTAAATCTTGGGCCTTGTGGTTTAACGACTCTAGGCCTGAAATTATTTAACGGATTTTGCATAGAAGTTGAGGTTCGAATCCCACATGAAATAGCTGAATGGGGACCTCTGCAATTTTTGCAGAGATGCTGATAAGGGCATCCAGACTTTGTACAAAAGCCTTTATTATTAAAGAATAAACATAAGTTATATTTATATAACTGGTTTTGAGGCTGTCTAACATGTGAAGTACCAGTCATTGTAAGCAACCAAAGTTCGCCATCAATAGAGGACCATTTCATATCGGCATGCATAGATTTTTTCTGTCGAAAAGCTTTATCATAATACAGCCAGCCAAATGAATTACGTTTTGCAGCTAGGCGGACCATGTGCATGTACTGTATTAACTCCGAGGCAAGAGAGGGACTTTTCATAATAACTATTTGAATATATATTAAAAATGCGTCAGTCCATGAACTTATGTTCTTCATTTCATGTATTTTTGGAACTACTGTCTAATACGATATTGCCATTTAAAACTTTAATAGACTGAGTCTCTGGTAATGGTTCTTTTTGTAACAGTAATCCTAAATCAATATATTCACCTGACCAGACTTGCTCTTTAATTTTTTGTGAAATATGCATACACATATTGGTACAAACAGAATGTAAAGGAAAAAAGGTTACCTAAACTATGATCAGCAGGTGTTGCCATAACTGGAGGCTGATCCAAAACATCAGGGTGTGGTTGAAGAACACTAGGACCAGGTGGAGGAAACTGGAAGTCTTGGTTTCTACTTGCTGTTGCATATGAAACAACAGAGCCATGAGCTGTGGGAGGGGGTACCGCACACTGAAATTGCTGATTCCCATTAGAGTATAATGGAGCAGGTACACTACTTGCCAGCGGATCAGATGTATAATTAATTTGTGGAGCAGGAAAGCCAGGTGGAGGAAACTGAAAGTCTTGGTTTCTACTTGCAGTTGCATATGATGCAACAGAGCCATGAACTGGTGGAGGAGGTACCGCACACTGAAAATGTTGATTCCCACTAGAGTATAATGGAGCAGGTACACTACTTGCCAGCGGATGAGTTGTATAACTAGTAAGTGGAGCAGGAACATTAGGCCCAGAAAAAGGGGGGGGAAGCTGCAGCTGCCCCCCTCCTTTGACGACGTTGATCAACTTGTCCAGTAAGGGAGGGTTTCCTTTTCGGACGAGGCATGTTGGCCATATATATGAAATAAAGTAAAACAGAAATTAAAGGAGGAACAGCAAAATTAATAAGTCTTAGAACATCATAAATATTTATTGCAATAATTCTTAATTTCATTCATATTATTCAAATTCATTCATTTATAAGTAAATTATTTTATCAATTCTTTTATCAATAATTAATGTTGAAATTTTAAGAAACGGTCTTGAACTAAATCTATGAATATTATAAAAATGTGTATTATGTGGCTTGCACTGCTAAGACACCACGTGGTCTGTGGATTTTAATGAATTCTATAAAAATTCCTTTAGTTACTAGCATTTACTTTCATTCGAATAAATTTGTTGATAAGATTTATAAAATATATGTTATTATAATACGGTGCACTTAAACAGTGAAATATGGCCGCCACGCCATGGCATTGCCACTTCTAGTTCTACCCCACGTGCTTCGACGGGAAAATGAGAATAAATAGCAATTTAGCGATAAAAGAAGAAAAATTACTGGAAATAATTCGGGCAACGTAACGTTCAAGATATTCTAAAGTAATTAATACCCGAATAAGACAATAAAAGAAACGTGTAATTAACTTTAAAGAAATTTAAAAACTGAGGAAAAAATTTCTGACCTTCCTCCCTGAGTTTCCAGAAATGTCTAGTCGTGAGTACACATAAACTTATGACGTCATATTATAAAGACCGGTAATGAATATCAAATTTTACCTTTAAGGTTAGAGGAGTTACTTCCCCTCCCAGATAACAAATATATCTAAAGACAAGACTTGATATATATTATATTATAACTCTGTTACCGTGTGATATGACTTACTAGTGTATTTTATTCATATGTCTGAAACACTTATCTAAGAGAAAAGATTGAATTAAAAAAAAACTCCATTTCTGCTTTATAGCATTCATATATAATGGTGTTTTAACTTTATCCTCTTGTTTACAATGTCATGAATCAAATATTGAAGTTCTTGCCTACACATATTTTAAAATTCTGAGACCGTTTTAGTTCATTGTGCCTTTAAATTTAAGCTACAGAACTATTGTACGTGTTGTTAATGAGGAATGGTGACATACTAAATAATTGTCTACCTTTTATAGAGCTACTTTCATTTTTGTTTGCACATGACATACGCACTTGTTGGACCGGGAAGTAAATTCGAAAAAAGTGAAATAATTATATAAGTAGCTATCATTTACGCAACAAATACATTTTATGTAACCGTTTGTTTACAGAGGTTACATGTCAATATGGTTTTTCCCTTCTACTTTACTTTATCACAGTTTCCCTTTACACATGTTTGATTTATTTTCAACTTTCCTATGAGTTTTAATCACTTCTACATATAGATGTTTTATAAGGAAAATCGTTTCTCAAGAGCCCCTTTAAAACGAGCGTTTTTTTTCACGACAACACATGACTGAACTTATCCTGTCTTTTTTTCCTAGAGACGAAACTATGTTCGTGTAAACTTATAAACAGATGGAGACAAAATGAGCAAACTGTATTTAGATTAACGTTTATAAAGTAATGTTTGATATTCACGTTCCGTCTTAACCGATATGAGATCGTATCACGCAATTTGACACAGATCGTCGTTTAATAAACAAATATGATGCTATAATTACTTATGTCACTTAATGGAAAAGTCATATGGCGACACACATTTCAGGTGACAGGATTCGAACTCATAATAGTGAGGGGCAGGTGACATTAGTAACTAGGTCAACTAAAGTTGCCTGGACTTTTCAAATACGATCCATGTAGCTTGGAGGTCAAGGCAATTTAGGACTTTCACATTTCTTTCAGTGTTTATAAATCATATACATGTATAAATATGATTAGATATATGCTTATACGCGCTGCCAAATAATGAGTATTGTAACAATAATATTTAAGTTATTTTCTGATGTCTTTGATAAAAATTAAAAAAAAAATGCACGAGATGCAGGAAATATGTAGCTTACTTGAAGCTTGGTGGTTACGCTGAGACTGTCGTACAACTTTAGAGAGTGGTAGTCTTTGACAAGTCCCACGACAGGTTTTTTTATTTGTTTCTCTAGAAAATTTGCGTTTACGTTTTATTCATTCAAAAGAAAATAAGTTACATAGAACACAAAATATTTTAAAAAGGAAAATAATCAAAATCTAAATATAGGGACAGCTGCGTATACATCATAACCCTATGTTTCATTTTTGTCTGTTTAGATTTATAACGTACATGTGTTTTAAATGTGTTGCAAATACTTAATTTACAAATGCATGTTAACATCATCTTGAGCATATTCATGTTAACATGTAAATATATTTGTTTAACTGGCCAAAGGCTTAACTATGCCGATTTGCGTAAAGAAAACTTATGTAAATCTATATCAGCTAGAAACGAAGTATTAGCTAATAATTATACATACATGTATATTATGTAAGCCATATCTTACAAGTAGTTATCAGATCTAACTTTTTTGATGTACCATCATTATAACCATCATACGTATTACTATTATCATTGTTATTATTACTGTTCATCATCATCATCATCATAATTATCATCATCATCAACAACATTATCATCATCATCAAGAACTACATTATCATCATCATCAACAACAACAATATTATCATCATCATCAACATCATCATCAACATTATCATCATCATCATCATCAACAACAACATCATCATAATCATCATTATTATAAGCTGGCGATTGTGAACAGGCAAACAGCATGGACATATGCTCGTATGCCAAATTAGGAAAACTGAAGTCATGCATCCATGTTTTCTGAAGATTTCCTTTACCTTATAATGCCATGTCACTAGCTCTAACGTTTTTGGCATATATCATTAGAAGCAACAGTAATAGCAACAACATTATCAACAACATCATCATTATTATAATCATAAGCATTTACTTTAAACATTATTATTATCATTTCTATCATCATCGTCGTCAGTAATAGCAGCAACAACATTAACAACAACAGCAGCAGAAGCAGCAGCAGCCGCAGCAGAAACAGCAGTTGCAGGAACAGCAATAGCAAAAGCAGCATTTACTTTAATCGTCGTCATCATCATCATCATTATCATCATCCTCGTCATTGTCATCATCAGAAGTATTAGCAGTAATAGCAAGAGCAGTAGCAGCAGTAGTAGTTGATGCTGGCACGACGTACGCCAGGTTTAAACATTTTTTCTCCCTTATCAGGCCGAATTAAGTACGCTTTAAAACGGGGAAGTATATGAAGATTAGTTTACATTTGAAAAGATAGGTAGTACAAGATGTTCAGTGCTGAAATAAATATTTATGTTCGTAACAAACGAAGGGGAAGTTAAATCTTTCATTTAAAATTCACTCATACAATCTTCATAACTATAAACGAGTGAAAGGAAATAAATAGTTACTATAAAGTTGCGGTGAAGGATAAAATCAAGTGAAAACAAGATTGTAAAAAAAAGTAAGTAAAGTCTCGTCAGAATTTTAATATTTTATTTCATTTGCTGAAAGCTTATATTTAAACTTCCTTCTCAAGTTTGCATAATTTTGAAATAAATTGAATATAGTAAGGTTTAAAGAAGATCCCTCCAAGATCTCAGGTGCCGTTTAATTGTTATTTAAATTAGATTTTATTCGAAACTGTTACCCGTGGTGAAACGCGAATTTTTCTCTTTGGGTTCTAATGAAATTGTGTACAGTCAGTATTTATAATTCCATGGGATTTGAAGTGGAATGGAGTAACTAGACTCAAGTATCTTACTCTGCGGTGTTCCGTGCATTCTTTCATTCTTTGTGTTAACTTTTCGTTAAAAAAAAATCTTCAGAAAAAAGTAAGATATCTTTGCTTGTCTGGGTATATTAGATTCTCAAGGTAATATCATATTAGATAGACTATATAAAAGTATGTACCTTTTTACTTATGTATTTATAAATTTCTCTGTTTATGGTATTTTATTTTTTAAATTTTACTTTTTTTGATTTAAAATATTAATTGCACTTTGGAATGTGTGTGTGTGTGTGCGTGCGTGCGTGCGTGCGTGCGTGCGTGCGTGTGTGTGTGTTTACATTATGTTTAATTAATTTGATTTCATACGTAATAATCAAAATATTCAACCCTGTTCATATTCATTTTTTCAAGCGTCACTTTCTACTGTTATGAAAGCAGTCGGGGTTTTATTTATTTCAAACTTTTTATGTTATTAAAATTTAAAATCTTTCTCAGTTTTGTTCAATGAATTTTATTTCGACTAGATTTCATGATAATCACACGTAATCGAAATCATTTACGCATACTTGTGTCAACACGATTAGTAATCATGGAAACTAAACAATAATTCTTGTTTGCCTAATTAAGATAATGGTAACCTAACTTCAAATTTAGTTTGCTTAACTTTAGCGACTGAGATGGTATAGTCCCTAAAGATGACAATATGACTTTTATCTGACTCAAATTTAAGATAAAGTTTGTGATTTTAAAACCCGGAAGAAGAAAAAGATTTCTTTTATCAGAATGTCATAGTTACGAAAAACAATGAGGGTTAATTGTTTTGAAACAATCTATTTGTAAATACACGTATATTCACGATTTCAGTTTTTGTATGGAGTGCATTAAGGGTCATTGTGTAAAAACGTGAATAATTCACAAATGAATAGTGTATTTAATACAATTCTGTGTTTTATCAATTATAGATTTATGCTTACTTTATCATGGTTTGGTTTCTTCTTGTCGCAATGGAATTGTATTGGTATCAAACGGATTCGAGTGTGTTTCAATAAGCCTATAGCTTCCTACACAATGTAACTAAAATAAATTCGTCTTATATAAAAACTAAAGTAACGTCATAATTGTAACTTTTTGAAAGCTAGATTTTACCACGCAAAATTTGTTTACAACTTGGTTTCAGATGTTTATTATCAAAATTCTTCACAATACAGGATAAGTACGTTGTTAAGAAGCGAATCATGTTACCCAGTGTCATTATGCATTCCAGTTTAGATTTGAAGGACATATTTTAAGCAATGTTCGTTTGATTTTTATCACCTGACTTTAAATCCTCGCATTATCGATGCACGAACTATTTTTACTCTGATTCGATTTTATGATAATCTTCTTCCTCTGAATAGCATGTAATTCTTTTGTTTGTTTTACTTTTCTCCACCGATGTCTCGACTTTCTTTAAATAGCTATTCGATAATTCGACTTGGTTTTAACTTTTTGCTGTCTTATGTCAACGCAGATTCGAGTTCATGCTTCGTTTGTGTGGTTTTTTTTTTTTTTTTTGTTTTTTTTTTGGGGGGGGGGGTTGCTTCGATTTTATGCTTCTATTTCGAGCTTCGATTTTCTGTGTCGATTTCATGTTTTGATTTTATGCTCCGAGTGTATGCTCCGATTGCATGTTAAAACGTTGATTGCAGGCTTCGAGTTTCTTTTTTGATTTTCTGCTTTGAATTAATGCTTCGATTAAATGTTCCGGTTTAATGCACTAAGTTATGCTTCCATTTCATGCTTTCATTTATTCTTTGATCTATTCTTTGATTTATACTTTGATTTCATGATACCGGTATGCTGATTAAATAACTGTTATTCGCTGTTGGCTTATATGCATTGCACATGTCATTTGAAACTTTTATACAATTTCTAGTGATAAGCGATGCCCACTGTGAATTGGATACAAAAACTTCTAATTTGGGGCCTAAACAAAACCACCGCATTGGCATCGCAGGATGGAGCCACCTGGAAGGTGAAATCTTCCTCGTTTGAGGATAGGGATTTCATTTCACTGGTGCATGATGTACAGCACTACAAGTGTAAAAACAATTATCAGTTTGCAATCGTAATTGCTCTTTCCATTTATACTCACAAATGTTTTCTTCTTTCTTCTTTTCCAGAATGTGCATAAAGAATCGAACATTATACGTATCAGAATGATTACTATAACAGGTGAGAATGGAATTGATTTGTATCAAGAATACTTTAACAAGTTATTGTGGTGTATAACGGCTACGATACCAAATCGCGAAGATGTACCAGACACCATTGACGTCATTTGGTTGGGCTGGCAGTGTGTAATTATAATAAAGGCAAATGCCATAGCATTTTTGTTAATGAATTGTGAACTTAATGTAACGTTTCCTAAGCAAAACCTGATTTTCAACATAAGCGCACTATTGGCAGATATTTTTGGGGGCGGGGGATGGGGGGATGTACAGTGTGTACATTTATCAAGCAAAACGACCTCATGATGTACCTGCTGATGATCTATTGTTTTAATAAGACTACCATTTTGTAAAAATACTTTTTATACATGTATAAATCATCTTGTTATTTCTTTATCATTTTTCTTAGTATCTAAAAAGTAAATTATTTTTTCCAGTGTGATGTGGCATTGAAGTCAAAATGAAAGTATTGAATTTAAATCCAAGTGGTATAACATGTAAGTACATGCACATCGATTCTTGCGTTTGAAATTATGTGAGCCTTGTTTTTTTTAGTCAGACTCAGGTATTTCGACTGTGAAATACGTGTGTGTCTGAATAGCATGCACTGGTATAAAATACTTGTTTTTATTATAAAGTACTTGTTTTCCGTCTAAATTCGCTGTTATCAATGAAATGCATCTGTTCGATCATTCGTTGGTTTGACATTTTATCTAGACTACCTAAAAGGTTCAATCATAATAATTTTATACAGAATTAATTTTAGTTTGTTTGAACTATAAGCTTATAGACACACTCTCGAATCCGTTCCAGTAACAAACCAGTGCTAAGCAATGTGTGTAAAATTCATATTAATCACTATATAATAGAAACTGGCAGATAGAATGACTTAAAGGTCATATCATATATCAAATGATACTATAGATGAATCATAATGTTTAATTATAAGCAGAAAGGTCATTTAGCCTTCATGCATATCAATTGACGATGAATGATATCATAACTGTTTTTTATTTTTCTATTAAAATAAATGAGCGGTCATCACACTTAGTGCTTTCGACCACGTTTGTCCAGAGGGAGACCTGCCATATCTATTCAGGACATGTTGTTCAACCCATAACAGTATCAGAAATGATGCGAAGCATGGATCTGATAGACTCGGATGCGCAGGCTTATGGATCTTTAAGTCGCAACCCTATGTTGTCTTTGTCGTGAAATCGGCTCAATTACATTTTAAAATTTATTTTCCGATAGATGAATAGTATGAATGAAGAGAAATAGAATTAAAGCTGAAATTTTATTTCCCTTTCCTGTGCATCCATTGATTTTACAACTTGAACTCTTCGGGTAGTTCAATAGAGAAAGGAGAGAAAAAAGGGGAAGACATCGATTGAAATCTGGCCTCTGGGTATGTATCTCGGAGTTCGACCCTCGGCGGGTTGATCGTAGGCCGAAAGTCGAGTTTTCGATATGGCGTATAAGCATTTGTCTCTTCCGCTGGCTCAGAAATTATGTGGGTATAAGAAGTCGCTTACTCCCGGTTAAATTGGTTAATATAAGGACATTATTTATTTCTGCAATTAATGATTGAGTGGCCACGGAATGAATGAAATCAATGAAATCAACTTAATTAATTTATTAACGATCACGTGACATAATGTAATATTATTAAAACATGAAATGACGTGTCATATATGACGGATGTTCATGCCCATCTAGATTGATAATCTATCGACTGACATTTGATCAGAATTTCTGAATCTTTGACATTTTTATTATTGATAATTTCATCTGTAACGCATTGAGAGGTTCCTTACGTGACATTTGTATTTCTAGATAAATATAATCTTCCCATTTTTATAATATTTCTAATAAATGTCACTATAAATTCTGTTTGTTTTGGATACGTTTTAATAATATTAATATGATTATAAGCTTTCTAGATATTGAATATCACGTGACGTCATTGAAATACGACTGCTTGTATCTCTTCTTCGGTTTTTACATGTGGTGCCTTGTATTTCCAACCCAATGGAATATATACTCTGAATTAAAATACTCCGAGTATGGAACGCCTGGACTGTCTTATGTTAAGAATGAATGATATACCTGGTTAAATGTCTTTCTGTTGTGTCCGAGATACAAAATGCTGGGTGGAAATCCTAATGTGCTCAGTTATTGAAGTGCTATGTTGTGTGCTGACTGTATTTTATTCAGTCAAGTCAATGTATTGTCGGGTGCATAAGTCGTTATGTTCAGTTCTTAAAACCAACAGGCATGTGGTAACACAATTATGTTGAGTTAAAAAGATATGTTGTAGGGTGTTACAGTTATTATGTTCGGTTATAATAATATGCCAATGGGTGCTCTTCTCATTATGTGCAACCATGAAAAGAAACAGTTGAGTGGTACTATCATTTTGTTTGGCTGAGGCAGTGTATTATTGGGTGATACTTTTATTATTTTCAGTTGCAATGACATGCTGTTGGGTGCTTTATTTCTTCTGTTCAGTCGTGAAATAGAACTGTTAAATGGTACAATCATTATCTAAAATGGTACTATCATTATCTTGTGTGCTGATTATATCTTCTTCAGTCAAGTCAATGTGTTGTTCGGTGCAAATGTCGTTATGTTCAGTGGTTTTTTGGTACTATCATTATGTTCAGTTCAGATGATAAACTGTTCGGTGCAGAGGTCATTATGTTCAATAGTGAACACAAACTGTTATGTGATACCACAATTATGTTGGGTTCATTTGGATTTTTTCGGGCAACAAGATGGGAGCGACTAATTTCCATAGGCCATGTCGAGGCTAATGACCACTAAATTGCCAAAACAATTTTCTTCCCTGTAAATATTATCGGGGGCTTAAGATCGTTATTTTCATAAATTGGACTTTTAAATACCCAATGGGTATTTTATTTAGTTAATTCATGACTATACTATACTGTTACAGTCATAATGGGTACAGTATATAAAACTTAAAATATGGGTAAGGGTAGCCTGTTAAAGTAACACATGACCACCGTAAATATAACTTAAAATTTATCTGTTTGGTAACCTATAAGAGTCACAAATGGACACAGCAAACGAAATTTAAAATATAAAACATCATATACAAGTAAGGGAACCCTATTTGAGTCACACATGGCCACAGTATATGGAGCATATAAGTAAGGGTAGCCTATTAAAGTCACATATGGCCACAGCATATGCAACTTAAAATATATGTGTTGGTAACCCATTTGAGTCACACATAACCACAATAAATGGAACATAATATTTAAGTAAGGGAAACCTATTTGAGTCACACATGGCCACAGTATATGGAACATTAAATATATTAAGTAAGGGTAGCGCAATAAAGTCACACATACCCACATTATGAAGAACATTCTATATAAGTAACGGTAACCTAATTGAGTCACACTAGGCCAAAATATATGGAACATTATGTTTAAGTAAGGGAAATCTATTTGAGTCACACATGATTAAAGTATATGCAACATTATATATAAGTAAGGGTAGCCTAATAAAATTAGACTCAAATACATTTCCCTGACTTCATAACGTCAGATCCCCTTTCAAAATTCCATTTTATTTTGTTCCGCCCATTGTTTTCTCGTTTAGGGCAAAAGCATTCTTTTACTTGGGGACCTTACGCCGCTTTTCATGGAATGGCACTACTGTGTCACATTGAAGGTTCCATGATAACCGCCGTATGAACACATCATCTTCGGATGTTTCTAAATTCAAAATTTCACCATTTTCGTGTTAAATGTTGAATTCTGCTTAAGCCGGTGCTAGGGGGCGTGGACGGTAACTTGCACTTTCCAGTACCGTCCATGAACAGGCTCAATCAAACCGAGTCTGCAACATTTTCAATTTTGCAGTGTTGTGCTTTCTTTAGGGATTCTGTTTTTCTCTATTTTAAACATTATGTCTACTAATATATTTTGGCCACGTGTGACTCAATTAGGTTTCACTTACTTATATAGAATTTTCTTTATATTTGGCCATGTTTGACTTTACTAGGCTACCCTTACTTATATATAATGTTCCATTTACTGTGGTCATGTGTGTCTCAAATGGGGTTTCCATACTTACATTTAACGTTCCATATATTGTGGCCATGTGTGACTCAAATAGGTTTGCCTTACTTGTATATTATGTTTCATATTTTAAATTTCGTTTGATGTGTCCACTTGTAAGTCTTAAAAGTTACCAACACATATATTTCAAGTTTTATTTACGGCGGTCATATGTGACTTGAACAGACTACCCTTACCCATATTTTAAGTTTTATATACTGTGCCCATTTTGACTGTAACAGTATAGTATAGTCATAAATTAACTTGATAAAATACCCATTCGGTATTAAATATTCCATACGATCTGTCCAATTTATGGAAATAACGTTTTTAACCTCCCGATGGTATATACGGGGAAGAAAATTGTTTTGGCAATTTAGTGGTCATTAGCCTCGACGTGACCTATGGAAATTAGTTGCTCCCGCCCGCCATCTTGTTTGACGCGAAGATATCCGAATGAACCCAACATAATTGTATGACCACTCAGCGCATTGTCAAATGACTTGTGCACCGAACAGTATATCATCTGAACTAAAAATAATGACTTCTGCACCGAACAGTACAACATCTGAACTGAACATAATGACGGTATCACACAACAGTTTGTGTTCACTACTGAACATAATGACCTTTGCACCGAACAGTACATCATCTGAACTGAACATAATGACTTCTGCACCGAACAATTTTTCATCTGAGCTGAAGATAATGACGGTATCACACAACAGTTTGTGTTCACTACTGAACATTATGACCTCTGCACCGAACAGTACATCATCTGAACTGAACATAATAACGGTATCACACAACAGTTTGTGTTCACTACTGAACATAATGACCTCTGCACCGAACAGTATATCATCTGAACTGAACATTATAACGGTATCACACAACAGTTTGTGTTCACTACTGAACATAATGACCTCTGCACCGAACAGTACATCATCTGAACTGAACATAATAACGGTATCACACAACAGTTTGTGTTCACTACTGAACATAATGACCTCTGCACCGAACAGTATATCATCTGAACTGAACATTATAACGGTATCACACAACAGTTTGTGTTCACTACTGAACATAATGACCTCTGCACCGAACAGTACATCATCTGAACTGAACATAATCACGGTATCACACAACAGTTTGTGTTCACTACTGAAAATTATGACTTCTGCACCGAACAGAACATCATCTGAACTGAACATAATAACGGTATCACACAACAGTTTGTGTTCACTACTGAACATAATGACCTCTGCACCGAACAGTATATCATCTGAACTGAACATAATAACGGTATCACACAACAGCTTGTGTTCATTACTGAACATAATGACCTCTGCACCGAACAGTACATCATCTGAACTGAACATAATTACGGTATCACACACCATTTTGTGTTCACTACTGAACATAATGACCTCTGCACCGAACAGTATATCATCTGAACTGAACATAATGACGGTATCACACAACAGTTTGTGTTCACTACTGAACATAATGACCTCTGCACCGAACAGTACATCATCTGAACTGAACATAATAACGGTATCACACAACAGTTTGTGTTCACACCTGAACATAATGACCTCTGCACCGAACAGTATATCATCTGAACTGAACATAATGATAGTACTATTCAACAGTTCTATTTCACGACTGAACAGTCTAAATAAAGCACCCAACAGCATGTCATTGCAACTGAAAATAATAAAAGTATCACCCAATAATACACTGCCTCAGCCAAACGCAATGACAGTACCACTCGACTGTTTATTTTCATGGTTGAACATGATAAGAAGAGCTATTTTAACCGAACATAACAACTGTCACACCCTACAACATATCTTTTTAACTCAACATAATTGTGTTACCACATGCCTGTTTGTTTTAAGAACTGAACAGAACGACTAATGCACCCGGCAATACATTGACGTGACTGAATAAAATGTAATCACCACACAACATTACACTTCAATAACTGAGCGCATTTGGACTTCCACCCAGTATATTGGGATTTTGACCAAGCCTATTGTATCTCGGACTCAACAGAATGACATTTAACCATGTATATCAGTCATTCTACACATAAGACAGTCCAGGCGTTCCATATCCGAGCACTATTTCTGTAACTTATTGGCATAATGTAGCGTTTCATTAAATCACCAAATTAACAGAAACTCTTAAACGAATACTGTTGCGCAATTTTACTTTGTTCCCAAACCAAACGACTCCCAAGGGAGAGAATCTGGAATGGCTCAGAATAAGGCATCATTAATTAGCTAGCGTAAAACAAGGCAATGTGCAGTGTCACATTGATGCATTGTCTAGTCTTTTATATCTATGGTTTTTCTCAAGGGAGAGAACCGCAGCAATCTTAGTTCTAAAACTACATTATTTCGCTTTCATATATATTGTACATTAGAGCTCTACATGTGATTCCTATTAACTTGGTCATTGAAAATGTCAATAACATTTCCAAGCTTCCCGGATGGAGAGCATGTTGTCATGGTCATACCCGTCTGTCAGGCTGTCTGTCTGTCTGTCCGGGCAACCACGTTATGGTTTATGAGCTTTGTTCCAGTTTAATTATCACTGGTTAATGTGATGTAATGCCACCATTAAATTAATTCCACTTTCATTTTTGCTCATACAGCTTTGTTTATTTATTGATGACGGTTGGTAACATGGGTGGTCCTCTAACCTAAGATAGTGTAAAAGTCAGTTGAGTCAATGTCCCTATAGTATTAAAATTAGATTTTGGTTGATAGTACTCAAAAATAGCAATGATAAGTCATAATACAATATCAATAAATTTACAAAAATAATTTAAATTATGTTATGAATTGTGACGTAAGACCACTCCAGTAAGTTTTATACATCTTCATATTTAACTACGGAAGCAAAGGGGGTGGGCATGAGGGACATTTTTCCTGTCATAATGGCGTGGCCACGAGATAATAGAGAAGAAAAACAGCCGGTACCACATCTGTGCTTCCGTATTTTTACACATACTTTCTTAAAAGTTAGTTCCTTAACGGGAGTACGAAAGTTAATTTACGATAGTTTTATTTTCTTGTAACGAATAGCTGATCAAACCTAAAGGGTTTAGAAGAGGAAAAATTTGTGTTGGTTAATTCATTCAAGTATTTTCTATTAAAAGTCCTCCTTGTAAAGCATTGATTAATTAAATGTCAATTAAAACTAAAATGCTATTATTTTAAATTTTATGCGTTTTACGTGTCTTGATACAATTCCCAAAAAGAAACAATTGGCAAGTAGTGCTTTTGTTTAAACAATGTTTATTTTATATAGTTCAAACGTATACAATTATGTGATATAATACAGGATTGAAAAGGAAGTCAAAGACTTATACAGTGAATAGTAAAAGTATAGAATTATGTACAGTAACAGCAGTAACAACACGTATAAGTACACTATTTACTCAAATGAAAATATCACACATATAAAAATAAAAAAAAGTGCAATGAGTTATAATAATACAATTAGCGAAAACAATGTGAATACAACGACTGTCGGCAATCATCATAAGTAGGAGTAGGTACGGAAGAAAAACATTTGATTTGCGGTTTTAAATTTAAACTATATTGTACACTAATCGATGTTTGATTTCACAATTGCACATGATAATATTAAATTATTAAGGAAGTCATCTAGATATTAGGATAAATATAGAAGTAAAACAAAGTGAGCCAGATGTGGCCATTGTTTTTTTAAGGGATGATACGTAAGAGCAAGGTGTCTGTAATAGTTTTATATAGATAAGGTAATTTAAATAAGTAAGACTGAGCCCCGCTAGGAACGGGGTCACAGAATGCCATCACGAGGACCATGACTCGACCAGGAATTATGACATACTTTATGAAGAAGTGTTAATTAAGTGATTCACAATTATTATAGAACGAAACGGAATTTACAAATGAGTTTATCATTTTTTTAATAATAATCTTTTACATTGTTTAAAATGATTATATGGTTTTCATTTACTCAGCCATTCAGATAAATTTGATATTTTGTTCTTCTTTTCTTCAGACTGATGGTTCTTCTTCTTTTTCAGATAAATGCGTTATGATCGCCCAAAACGTTTTGTTAGTCACACTTGTCTTATCATGGATTGATTTAGCATCATCTTCATCAACTACAGCATCAGTGTCCACTGTTGATGTGTCCACTGTTTTAAACAATACTGTGTCTAATATTACACAAACTGCGTCGTCTGCTATGCCTTCACCTACGACATCGACCGCAGCAACAACAATGTCAAGTTCTAATTTAAATTCTTCTAGCAATTCTGTGATAACTACGTCGAATGCAGTTACCCCTGCATCAGTATCAAGCATTTCAAACACAACTTCTTCTGTTTCTAATGTTAACCAAACAAATGCGACTAGTATAACACAAACAACAAACATTGTTGTCGTATCTACAACACCAGCCGGAGTCGAAAATAAAACAACAGTGACTGCAAGTAACTCAACTCAGGGCGAAATGAGTACAACCACTAATGAAAGTATACCTATAACAAGTGTCACAACACCTGCAATATCTACAGGTAAAACTTTTCATTTAAGAATATTACATGTATATACAGCCATTTAAAATGGTCAATGTATCATAATGACATTTTTATTTAAATACAGATATAAAAATGTATTATAGACAGTATTCTCATAACGCTGCCCAAACCTCTTACCAAGCTCTTGTGCGCTTAATTCGTTCAACACGCCGCAAACAACCCGACCCTTTGATATACATTTAGAACATGGCTGAACTTTATTTGATTGAATTACCATCACCCAACAGAACAATTTAGAATTATTCACGTCTGTTGATACATATTTACAGATACATTTCAGATGCTGTGAATGAAACGGGTGTTGGGAATAATACCATAACCACGCAAGGAGTGCCATTAAACACAACTACAACAACCAACAGCTCATTACTTACGACGTCATCTACGCATTCTCCTGCAGAATCAACAGCTTCAACAGTTACAACTGTGTCAGCTGTAGTGTCGACCACATCAAGTCAAAATGTTACTGATATAAATTTAAATTCATCTTCTGTGACAACAAACATACTAACCTCGACAGTAAATTCCACATCAACGGTGGCTTCTATTTTAAGTTCTTCAGCTTCAACCACGTTATTGCCACCACATTTATCTACTGTGAACTTAACATCACCAACAGTATCTAAAAATTTAACGACTGTTACCACTGTATCATCTTCATCATCGTCAACATCGTCATCGTCTTCGTCGTCATCAACAGCAACACCTTCATCTACTAGTACAAACCAGTCAACTATTACCAGCAGTGGTCATTTTAATTCCACTCCTGTCACCAGCTCTTCTACAACCATGTCCATCATAGACAAAGAAAACCAGATTCTAAAAAACACAATTTCTGGTAAACCCTCAGCTTTCCATATCATAAAAAAGTTAATAGAAATTGTGTTTTAACGGCGAACGTATGATCGTTTTGTACATAATAATGTTAAGTGAATTTTGCATCTAAGGATTTGTAAGCGTAAAGACTTTAAGAGGATTGGTCTTATTTTCAAAAAAGTTTTTCAAATATTGATAAAAGCAATACAAATATATCATTTGAATATTCTTGTAAATATCGTTTGAAAGAAAATGTTCTTACAATAGTGATTCAATATGAGCATTTATATGAATGATAGTATTATTTTATCTGCTATCTTCTCCCGGTCAGCCGGGCCTCGTCCGTTAAATGTTTGCGGGCTAACCGATCGGTCACAATAATAATATGCGGCCCTCAGTGAGTGATGTGTTCTAATAATGTTATTAAACAGTATCTAAAAATAGAAATTTAAATGCGTGTCTTGTGTTTTCTTTTCAGATTTGGAAGCCAAACATGATGATTATGTCATTGCTGTTATAATTTTGTCCCTCATCTTGGCTGCTGTCATCCTTGCCGTTGTTCTTTTCTTTGTTTATCAAAGGTAGGCTAAACAAATGCTTTGTCTAGTAATTTTTAATTTGATAAAATAGCGTTAACTGACACGGTGTCTTTTGTTTTTCTAATAGTTACAGACGTTTAAAACGGTTACCTAGACTTTCATAGAATTCACGTTGGTCTTTATAGCGTAAATGCCCAAATCTGTTGATTGGATATACATGTATAATTAATGTTTATCATTGAATCGATTGGGATAGAAATTTCTTAGGACCATATTTGGAATAAACATTTCTCTTAAATTAGGCCAGCAAGAACTGACATTTAAAATGTTGAATTTTTAATCCACAGATTTATAACATTGTCGTTACAATTATTAATGATATTGTTATATTATTAAAAATATTTTCACAATGTTTTGGAATGAAGCATAAACTTGTTTAAATCTTTATGATTAGCATCTGAACATCTCAGTAATTGAGCCGCGTCATGACAAAACCAACATAATGGGTTTGCGACCAGCATGGATCCAGACCAGCCTGCGCGTCCGCGCAGTCTGATCAGGATCCATGCTGTTCGCTATCAGTTTCTCTACTTGTAATAGGGTTTGTAAGCGAACAGCATGGATCCTGATCAGACTGCGCGGATGCGCAGGCTGGTCTGGATCCATGCTGGTCGCAAACCCATTATGTTGGTTTTCTCATGACGCGGCTCAATTAATCATCAAATTGGTAATATTTTGATCGCTTGATTAATTATTAAGGAAAATATAAATTAAAAAAGGACTGTGTTTGATAAACCTATGCTTTGATAAAAAATACTTATATTGTGAAATTTCTCCTGCAGAAGAAAAGAATTGTTCGAGGTATGGAGTTAAAACAAGTGGTTGGGACACCAAATATATATCTATGCTTTTAAAAAAGAAAGTTTTTTCACCTGTTTTCACTTTTAATACATTATTATTTGGTCAAGAGCAAGATTTTGATCCGATTAATTGCATATAGCATCCAAGAAATAACAAACAATTTGGTGTTCCATTTCACTATATGCATGTGTCACGTTGCGGTGTGTACACGACATAAAAGTCACCGATAGTTTTCCATTACACAAACAACCCATGCCAATCACTTTGTCAATCAACTCATTTCATATGTACAAACATCATCAACCAATCCAGTCATTTATTAGTTAGAAATAACCAAAGTGTTGTTAAAGTAATACCAGAAGAATTTGTTGCTTATGTTTCGGCACATCATTTTATCACAATCATTTCATGTTTTATCCCATTTTTATAACACTTTGATGAGAGAAAAAAACATTGTATAGTCGAAAGAAAATGCATGGAATTTGATAGGATAGAACTTAGTTAAACCTTGTAACATAAATTATTTGTATATGTTTGTAAGGTAATATCATATTTGTTGTATTACTTTAGACTACAAACAATACTTAAGCGTTTACGTTTTTAGAGCTCTCCTATCACATTTTATAATTACGTTGCCAAGAGGCAAAAGTCATAGTTCCGCATTCAAACCCCTAGAAGGATTTCAGCTAGATTGTGGAACATAGTTGGTGCCCGCTGTCGAGCCTCATATAATTCACAAAGGGGCCACCTAATTCTACCTACACCAGTAAAAATGACTTATGGGTCAACATATTACATATTACAGAGTCGGTTTGACTAAACCAAATATATATCACTTTTTAAAATTTGGTTTCTTTCTTTAAAAAGTAATAAATTTTACTGCATGTGACTGCAGGTTGCAACGAAGTATTTTGTATAACTCATTCGACTTATAAAAAGACGAGTATTCAAAACTTTTTAGGTTACTGTAAAACTTCCAATGAACTTCTACGTATTATATTCTTATTTACATTTTATTCCCTTTACTACTCTAATTACGGCACCGTAAAATATATAATAGATATGTATAAACAAAGTGATTTGTGCTCATTACACTAAAACATTCCGAATTTCTCTTACACCAGGTGTAGAAAGCCGAAAACATTCTTTGAAGATATCGATGAAGACCTTCAAAGCCCAACAGTAAGTGTCTATATTGTCTTAATATATATTCATTATTTAACAAAATTTGACGATAAACTTTTAAGTAACAGCGCTGTTTATATTTCAAAATGCTTTCAATAAATATTCGGATAATTACTTCTTAACAAAATTGAGCATACCATATATTAACCTTAAAAGTTAACCTTAATTACTGATAAATTCAATCACCGCCATAAGAACACATCTTTGGTTGAGACTAAATTCTAAATTTCACAATTTTCATGTTTAAATGTTGAATTCCTTTTAAACCGGTGCTAGAGGGCGTGGACGTTTGAATGATTGCATTTTATATACCAATTATCGTCCATAATCAACAGGGTCTACAACATTTTAAATTTTGCCGTGTTCGGAGACTTTAAGGTTTCCAATTCCACATTTTGGTGATAGCAAAAGACGAACGCTGCACGTGATAAGTTACCTGCATGATATTTTTAATCATATTCTAAAGTTCGTTCATTTTCGTCATTTTGCGTGTACTGATTGAGTTTTGAAGTTAACTAACACAGTAAATGATATCATTATTCATGTTTTTAATGTAACAATGATAAGATGACGTTTAATTTTGAATTAAATTTTTTATTGTTGTTGTTTTTTAATTTGTTTCCAAGGTTTAGAAACTTAGACACATATGCTGACCATTGGATCATATGTTTAAAGAAAGAAACGAGGAAAACGGAAATAGTCAAAATCTTTCTTTTCAAATTCTAATTACATGGCACTTAATATTTTGTTACATGAACAAGTATCTTAAATGAGAGAAAAATGATACATCTTTCAGTATAAAATATTAATGCATTGCTTGCATGTTGTAATATAATATTTGTTTAGTAACAGACGTTTTGTGCGGTGCAAATAACCCTGACATACGTATCTTACCTGAATATATTCTGCATTAAAACTTCGTCTGCTGCATTCAAATATCGTCTGCTAGATATCGTTTGCAGCAGACAAATATCGCCTGCTAGATATCGTCTGCAGCAGGCAAATATCGTCTGCAGCATGCAAATATCGTCTGCTAAATACCGTCGCCAGCAGGCAAAAATCGTCTGCTGTATATCTAGGCCTCTAGACGGTAGAGTTTAGTTGTACAGCACTAATTAGAGATAAGATGTACAATTTTCAAAGCTATACAACACTTGCATTCAGACGGTAATTCTACACTGTAAGAATCATCTGAGGTTTCCCATAAAAAAGACCCCTTTACATTGATCCTTTACATACTTTTACTTACTAAATACTTTTGTCGCCATGAGTAATGATTGAAACACCTCCATTTAAATATGTATATATATACTCAATATAGAGACTCAAACCTGGGACCCTCGGAATACCGTACTGCGGCTCTGCTGACTAAGCTATCTGGCCGCCTACAAACTACCTCCCCTCCCCTAATTAGAGAACAATTCAATACCGTGACATAATCATTTTCGGAATAATTTGGGATTCGAACATAACACAACTTTGGGTCTCCTGAAGAGTTTTTCAACATCATTTTTACCCCATCTTACTACTATGTTTACCTTTTAGCCCTAATTGTTCTGGAATTTCATTCATTACACCCATTATCAGGAGATAATTTGGTTATCTGTTACTTGTCATTGTGGGAGGTCTGTAAAAATCGGTACGACAAGATTTTCAAAATAGAACATGTCCTATCCCTTACATCTAGACATAAGGTTTCCGAAATCAAGAAATAGTAGCCTTCACACATTAAGATTTGTCTGTACATCTTAGTTTTAATTGGTGTTGTACTTCAAAATCCTACCGTCTGTTGAGGCCTTAAGATAGCAGTATAACTAACTATTTGTAAACTGAAATACATTGTTGGTAATTAAAGAGAGGATCAGGCCGAAACCCATCCGGTATTCAGATTCAGCGCCATAGAAGTTTATGGAATAGCGTCTTGGTTGACTTTTCGAGTCACGGTGCCGAGAAATCTGAGAAAAATGGCAGTCAGACGACATCTTTTCAAAGACCACCATCAACCATGTAAAACCTGCTTCTTGACTCGCAAAACCAAATTATAACGCCGCTTAAAACATATCTAGCCTTTTACAAAAGTTTAAATAAATTCTTTGTAACACACCTTTCTAGCTGTTGACACAATAACTTGCTTTTTACCTAATATATCAAGCTTGTAATAATAACTATCATAAACACATATATCAAACTTTCCATTTACCTGTATACCTTTTTCAAATTATTACACATATTACGCTCCAATCTTAAGTCATTAAAATCTAACGTAAACAAACTCTTACACTTCTTGCAAATGGCTTAAAATAGAAAATGCTTATGGAATATCTTCCAAACGCTTCATTCTACTTTTCTGGCAAATTTTATATACAATACACACACAAAAATGACTTGCTTTTTTAACGCTACGTATTTTGAATATAAAATAGATAGGAAAAACAAGTTAAACATATAGGAAAAGTAGATATGGTCAAAAGTAAAAGACAGCGAACCTGATAAGGCCAAAATGCCTTTATTCTTATTTTTATTTATTTATTATATTCCAATAATGCAATATATAGAAAAGTGTCTGCTGGGAATATTGATCATGTTTCATTTTTTAAGTTATGTATCTTTTAACGATGTGTTCTGTATTAATGTAAACATTTTTCTTTATATTCTGGTGCTGTCATCATTTTCTGTGATGTAAATTATTTGTCTGAATGATTTAAAGTGAATTGGTCGATAATGGAAGGTATGTAATACAATAAATAATTATGTTGATAGTATTTAGTATCATAGACGACAACAAACGAGGAAATAATGAATGTTGGTAAGTGTGAGATACATGATCCAGTATCAAATTTCTCTGTATAGAAGATAATAAATTGTTCCAGAACAAAATATTATTATTCATTATATAAATGTTCATTACAACTCAACAGGAGCTCTATACAGATTTTTTTTTAAGAAATATATTTTAAGGATTTTTAACTGAATACAAATGATACATTTCAATCTTTCTATCAATATTAAACTTATGAAGAAAACAAATGATACATTTCTATTGTTTTTATCAATATTTTAACAAATTAAGGAAAGTGTGCCCATTATAGACCAATCCACTTTAAACCATCAATATTATTTAAGCCGCGTCATGACAAAACCAATATAATGTTTCTCTACTTGTTATAGGGTTGGTAAGCGAACAGCATGGATCCTGATCAGCGCAAGCTGGTCTGGATCATTGCTGGTCGCAAACCCATTATGTTGGTTTTGTCGTGACACGGCTCATATATACTTTCTCCGTTATCAATGCATAGTAACTTGTATGTTAATAACACTCCTAGATGTTATCTAATTGAATACTTCATTCTTTTCTTATGAAAATTTAAAAAAAATTAACAATGGTGTAAGAATTCGGTTAATTTATCGCTATCATATAGTGTGTACTTATTTATAGAATAGCTTTAGTCATTAAGTAGATCGATCCTATTTATTAAGCAAATAGAATAAAGATTTTTTATTGAATATCTGGCATAGGCTTTAATTTGGTTTCTCCATATTCATAATAGCATCTTTAAAAGGGTTCATGCATGTTTGTTTCTTATCAGTTTATACTATTATATACAGCGTATATAATTTCATGTAGTATTAAGGAATATATTCCATATTGTTAAAATTATAAAAATTATATGTAGATGTTTTAGTCAAACACAAATGTGGCGAAATATTTTCAATGTTTATCGAGATATATGTAAATTGAGATTAATAAAGTTTCTTCTTTTTCAAACTGGACTGACAAAATACTTTGATACCATGCAACTTTCTTACATTAGTCTGTTTTCTATTGGATTAAAGATATAAGTCATTTCTTTCTTTATGGAAGTCACTATTTTAGAGTGAATTGTTTCCTTATGACACATTCTTCATTCAAGTATCTTTATTTTCCTTATGACAATAATGTAAGTTCATGCTCGTAATAAACAGTTTATGAATAATTCCTACTTTGTAAAAGTGAACTGTCAAAGTACACTGATTTCCTGTGTTGCTTAATAATCATTCGCGTGGAAATATTACCACGCGTGTGATAATTACGCGACACCGGATATCAGCAAAGTCTTACAAGACTTGATAAGAAACACGGTCTGTTTCTTTAACACAGTAGTGTTCGAATTTGTTACAAAATGTATCTGTTGCATAATTTCAGTACCGAAGACCAAAACTTAGTTTCACAAGAGATGCCCGAACCAACGTCTTTGGAGCAGACCGAATAAGCAAAACATCAATAAATGACCATACAGACTTGAGCTCAAGTAAGACTTCAACAACAACATTTTCAAGAAACGACCGTCTTTGAAGAAAATTCATTTTGAACAGTAAATGGAAGACATTAAAATATCATCAGTATCTTTTTAGGTTTTATGCCATTTTGATATGTACATGTTTTTTAAATAGTTTTTTTCTGGCATTTTTTACTTTACTAGGACACTTAAATGCTGGTTATGATAACATTGACAAAATTAATTATGAATGGGGAAACGTCAACTATTTTCACAAGCGAGGCTTATATGGAACAAATACATCCCATTAATGTAAGATTATAATTTTGACCTAGCAATTAAATTTATTTTCCTGTTCTATTTTTAGAAAACTACATTGTTGTTCGCTTCAATTTTAGCAAACTAGTTCGTCTTTGATGAAACTTGTTTAGAATTTACAGCTATCTACAACAACATGGGTACAATCATTTAAGTCTCGTTATATTATAAGTATATAGTTGTATTTCCCTTATTTTAGCAATCTGGTCTAAAAAGTAGAAGAAGATGCAATACAAAACACATTTTTAACGTGAACAGATAGATATATTTCTTATCTATATGTAACAAAATGTTACATTTTGTAAGTTTTACAAATAATCTTGTTGTAGTAACTTTCTTACCTCATAAGTGTCAAAAAAATTTCCCAGTTCAGTTTCTGTTATAAATCAATTTTTAAAATGTTTTCTCTAAAAATCGTGTTTCATTACATTCTCATATTATGACGTTGTTAATGTTTATGTTGTTTATGTGAGATAATTCAAATATTGTTAAGAAATATATTGACATTTTATATCTCTATACTCAATGTACAAAAATCATTAATAGTGCATGTTAAATAAAGCAATGTCATCGTGTGCAATTTTCATACCACACTTTGGTCATTCTCATTTGTTGGTATGTTCTATTTTAATCGATTTTATTACATGTTATTTATGTTATATGTGATAAAATTTGATTATAACCTACCATATACTTTTCATTATTTTTGAAAAACATGCTCAATAAAGATCATCTTGCAATGTCACGTTTTGGTGATCTCGAGTTTCGGTTATCTCAAGTGATTTTTTTCTTTCAATATTCCTTTTTTATTAGCAATTGATAAAGAAATTATAGAAATTCATATATAATTTAAAAAATGACGCAATGTGGAGCTAGTATTGCATAATCTGAGAGTGTCTTAATTTTATGTGTAAATTGTTTTTGTTTTTGATACTGTTGTTTATTATCATTTTATATTTTAACATTTATATTCATATTCTAATTTGTCCGAACATAAAGAAAAATTAACAAACGCTGAATTCATTTTTATTGACGAATCATTGGGTATTATTTCATGACTTTCGACTTTGCGAGTATGTTTGGGTAAGCTTAAATCAAGAAAGATAACTGCGTTTTGGCGTTAATGTAAATGTGTACTTATGGAGCATTTTGTTTTCATTGATACGTTTAATACAAAGTATATCAGAATCAATATTATACAAGTTTAAGCAGTTGTGAAAAATGAAATTCTTATATAGGGGGCAAATATTGTCAACTATTACAAGACCATTTTTACCACGGTGCCTATACCACGTGATTTTTTGTGTAGGAAGGTTTTATTTTCTGCCATAATATTTCATTATTTATGATGGAATAAAATGTTGAATCCGCACATTCTGGTGACGAACAAATAACTAGATTTTTTCCTTATCTTTTTTGTTAAAGTGACACCCTGTGAATATCTGATTGTTTAAACACGCGGTTTTACTTTCTGTAACAGCATGGTAATTTTCCCCCTAAAATAATCATGTGTGTTACGCGCTAGAATAAGAGGGCTCAAGGCGACATCCGATTATAAATAGTGAAATATTAAAAAGTTATTGAAGAAGATGAAATCTGAACCGTGTCTTGTATCGGTTTTCCGCCCCGCGCATTACAAGAAAAGTCACTTGGAATAGGCACCATGTTCTCTGTACAGTCAAATACAACTATTTTGGTTGTATGCTGTAATCAGTGGTCATTTACCTATAAGCAATTGTTATATATGTTGATTATTATGTGTATTTAATAATGTGTTTGTTCAATGTAGGAATGATTTATGTGCATGTATATTTGAAAAAATATTTCATGAAAAGATAGATATCAGTTAAATTAAACTTAAAATGTACAGTGTATTTTGTTTTAATTTTCCAGTAACATTGACTACTTGTAGCTAACTTGACATCGTTATATAATAAAGCTGAAAGAAAGTAATATTTCTTCAAACAAATTTTAACCGTTATTCTTATCATTGTGGCCATACCACGTAGTCCATAATGTCATTTTTAAGATATCGCCATCAGAATTTTTACCCTAGTTCGGAAGAGACAACTGTTATATAATTGGCTAAATCAACTTTAATGAAATACGAGAAAATTTTGAAATATAAATTTATCTGAGTACATAAAAAGGTAACGTTGATAGATGTCAGTGAAAATTTCATTTGCTCCTTTCAAAACAAATTTGCAAAGTTTCAGAGTTCTGATCTAATCTTTCGATATATTAATTTTATAGTCTGGTTATACTTTATTAACAATGGAATATTACAGAACCGAGGTGTTTGCGTCGTCCTTATGTTTGACCCTTAACATGCTGAATATTTTAAATGGACTTGTCCCACTTCCATTTTTGGGACTGTCCATTATCAATTTTAGGGATATCAATTTGAATATTTTAAGTTTGACAGCCAACAGTATAGAGCCTGGTCAAACTGCACGGACGTGCAGACTCGCCTGGCTCTATACTGGTGGCAAAGGCTAAATGCTTTTGGTTCCAGCACTTTAATGGTTAATGTATTTTTGAGCATTTGGAACAAAAAGAAATCACATTTACCTTGCAGAATACGGAGGATCAAAGACCACAAAAAACTGTTGCTGCCTAAAAAGGTCATGGACAATGTACACATTGTGCCAAGACGTATTGTCATGCAGCAATCTGAAAAACCTTAACAAACTTGTTGCATGTCTTTTTTATTATTTAATTTGCCTTTAGGTACAGCCAAATGAATAACTGAAAAACGAGTTGTGACAAATATGGCATGCAATACCTTTCTGACAGTTATTGCCCGCTATGCAATTCATGGTCTTTTGACCTTATTGTCTATAGCTTGGACTGACAAATACTTTAAACTGAAAAAAGTTAACCTATGTTTCGATATCAATTCTGCATTATTATTTGGAAACTGAAGCATCGACAATGTCACCAATTGTTTGCTTGACGTTTTCTGTTCATGTATCAGCATCTGTCAGATAGGGAATTCATCGGAAACAGATCTTTCTCACTTTCAAATTAAGTTTGAGAATTGTATGAGCTGATTCTATTAAGATGCCAGGCATAATTAAGCTATTTGCCTTGTGGCGTTTCTTACATGAGTAGCAACTATTTCTTTTACTCAGTTAACTTTTTAGCACATGTTGCGTTTACGGGCCGACGGTAAGTATAATTACGCGTAAGAAAAAGTGACTTCTACAACGTTACATATTTGATAACGTCCGGCAGATGCAACTTGAACATTGTTGGTATATATCTTGTATAACATCTTGGTTTATATATGAGTATAGTTTCAATAACGAATTAATTGAACGAGTTAAATAAAATTATATTATGCCAGCTTCTGGCGAGCATTTTATTATTTTGGTGTATATATTTATTTCTTCATCAATATTTACAGAGAAAAAAACAATATATAAATTGCATTCAGGATTGAGTAGAAAGCTTATATGAAACTCTCTCCTGTCAAAACATATTATCAATTTATTTTAGTAGCAACATGACATAGTTTTTGTAGTAACAGTTCATTGTACCTGCATTGAATTCCTTCCATATATTTACAAGAAGATAATAAATACCTACTACGTATGACGTGATTTGTAAAGGATCATAAAAAGGAGCTGAACATGTCAAGTGTGTAAGATGCAATGCCTATATCAAAATTTAAATAATTTCTAGACATGGGAGAAATGGAGATCAATAGACAAAAAATAAAAATAGCAAGAGCCATGTTAGCATGGTCATCCCCCGGTCATTGTAAGAATGTTTATGTATTAGAGCAAAATAATTCAATCTAAAGAGGTCTTTTGGTAATGAAAACCGATGGCTGAAGTGATTACAGATTTGAGACAACGAGGATTAAAGCAAAAAAGGGTATATCTTCGTTTCTACGGAGACTTTCAGATAATAATTTACGCTGAAGACTTGTGGGCATATGTTTTAGGTTAGAATGCACAAAACGTCACCAGAATCGACGTTTTCAATGTTAAATTAGGTCCAAAGAGAAGTTGTCTCCAGTTTTCCAGCTACCCCGAGTGACTGCGTCGCACGCTATTTCCATCAAATTGTCCACCAACAGGCAATATCTTTACATGTGCATACTCGGAAAACACATCGCTAGCTAACTGCATTTCGATATTTTTACATAAATGTCTGTAATCTTCAAAAATTATGAAAAACTCACCTTGTTTATTGTGTCACACGTCAAAGATGGGTGCTCACAACGAGGAACGGAAGTTGCTCACAACATTTTTACCGATGGACATTTTTAACTCGTTGTGAGTTAAACGGGCGTGGATATACAAGATATTCCAAATTCCAGAGAAATAAAGTCTATTCAAATTACATTTCAAATTCATATGTATGCATTGTGAAAGTGTCTGCATGCATAATCCAGTACAGTAATGTTACCATAATGAAAGAAAATGATTTTGCAAAACTAGTATTCAGATCGGTGAGAAACAGTTAACTCTGACTGCTCTGTCGTGGACCTGAACTCAACCAGAGCACGAACTGGGACCTAGAAGCTCCAATAAGGTCTTCCTGCGACGACACGCGTCCCAGTTCGTGCTAGGTGTACTTCTGAACCTCGACCCTCACGTGGTGGTCGGGATCCAGGAGTACCCCCGACTTCATGATAAGCTCTATGCACAGGTGTCAGAGGCAACATTTACCACCATCTTCAGTACTAAGTTAAATATTTTATTATTTTATTCAACGAGTTCAATAAATAATGTAATGAAGCTGCACAATATGATATTCTTTTTATCACATACCTAAAATAAGGACTGTTTCAAATAGAAACAAGAGCCATGTCAACATGGCCATCCCCCGCCGAATGTGTTTGCTCATTGGAAGAATGTATATGTAGTAGAGCAGAATAATTCCATTTTAAGAGGTCTTTTGGTAATGAAAACTGATGGCTATAGTGATTACAGATTTGAAACTATGTGAATACTGATGACTGAAAATAACAAAGGGCAATAACTGACAAATAATGCAGGGTAGGTTATCATTCTTGTGTGCTGCATCCCTCCTCAGTAAAATTTATCCACTTATGAAGTTTTAAGTTGATATCTCAAGTACTTTTTGAGAAAAAATTGAATTGAAAAATTAAGTATGAAAAATAACAAAGGCAATAACTCAAAAATTATAAAAGGTAGAGTTATCATTCTTGTGCACTGCACACCTCCTGAGTTAGATCTATGCACCTATGAAGTTTCATGTTGATATCTCAAAGACTTTTTGAGTTATGCTCTGGACAAAAAGTAAGTTTGAAAAATAACAAAGGGCAATAACTAAACAATTATGCAGGGTAGAGTTATCATTCTTGTGCACTGCACTCCTCCTTAATGAGATCCATCCAGCTATGAAGTTTCAAGTTGGTACCTCAAATATTTTTGAGATAAGCTCCGGACAAAATAGTATGAAAAAGAACAAAGGGCAATGACTCAAAAATTGTATAGGGAAGAGTTATCATTCTTGCGCACAGCATTCCTCCTCAATAAGATCTATCCACCTTATGACATTTCATGTTGATATCTCAAACACTTTTGAGTTATGCTCCACTTGGGTGAAAAATTAGGAATGAAAAATAACAAAGGGCAATAACTCAAAAATTATGAAAGGTAGAGTTATCATTCTTGTGCGCTGCACACCTCCTGAGTTAGATCTATGCACCTATGAAGTTTCATGTTGATATCTCAAAGACTTTTGAGTTATGCTCTGGAGAAAAATTAATTTTGAAAATAACAAAGGGCAATTACTCAAAAATTATGCAGGGTAGAGTTATTTTTTGTGCACTGCACTTCTCCTCAATGAGATCCATCCACCTATGAAGTTTCAAGTTGATACCTCAAATACTTTTTGAGATAAGCTCCGGACAAAATAGCATGAAAAAGGACAAAGGGCAATAACTCAAAAATTGTATAGGGAAGAGTTATCATTCTTGCGCACATCATTCCTCCTCAATAAGATCTATCCACCTATGACATTTTATGTTGATATCTTAAACACTTTCGAGTTATGCTCCACTCAGGTGAAAAATTAAGTATGAAAAATAACAAAGGGCAATAACTCAAAAATTATGAAAGGTAGAGTTATCATTCTTGTACACTGCACACCTCCTGAGTGAGATCTATGCACTTATGAAGTGTCATGTTAATATCTCATAGGCTTTTTTAGTTATGCTCTGGACAAAAATTAATTTTGAAAAATAACAAAGGGCAATAACTCAAAAATTATACAGGGTAGAGTTATCATTCTTGTATACTGCACTCCTCCTCAATAAGGTCTATCCACCTATGAAGTTTCCAGTTGATAACTCAAATCCTTTTTGAGATATGCTCCGGACAAAAATGTCGGACGGAAGGACGGATGGACGGAAGGACGGATGTTCTAACAGGACAGTAATTATGTGGTTACGCTATTGTTCTCAGTATTGTTCTTTTTAGCCACCCAAAAGAAAATAGCCACATAAAAGCATTACGGAATGAATGACATCAAAGAGAAAGAACAGTTACCTATTGTCCCTCTAGCCACATAATTACTCTCCTGTGAGTGCGGAAGGTCGGACGGACGGACGGACGGACGGAGACTATTACTATATCCCCCGCCGCCTTTTCGGCAGGGGATAATAATCATATTTACGGAGTCGCAAAAAATGGCACGTGTATGTGATAATTTTTTATATGTGTAAACTTCGCTTATTCATTTTCAAGGGCAAACTGAAAATAGCCAAGACGGTAAAACTACAAATGGCAAGAATTTATAAAAGAAGCATTGAAGTCGAGCATTACTTATAACACCTTGATTGATTGACTCTTATCAGATAAGAGCTCTTTTTAATGTTTCTACTAATGCTTAATGACGTGTAATGAAAGACGATATTTCTAGTGTAAACCTATATTTTGACATTCCATAGACAGAAATGTATGTTATTATTTTGATTTCTAAATGTATTGAGTAATAGTACACGCGAGACGTACTTCAATTTTTGTAATAGAAAATCGGTGACTGTAAAAAAACCTGAAAAATTCATACATTCGTTAAGAGTAATAATGAAAGTATTGTTAAACAAACCCTTGTCTTAAAGTTTTATTTAAACTATGATCCTGAACCCAGCTGGACATTTTCTAAAGTTTTTCTTTCTAACCGCACTTTTGTCTGTGTCAGATATTAAATGGTTACAGATTAAAATAAAAACTTCATGCATGCTCTAGGTAATAATATTTATTAGTTTGTTGCTGTTTTTAATTTGAATGTAAGTCATTTAGTTTGTACTAGTGGTATATAAGTCACATACATGCGAGCATACAATCTCAACTCTTTTACCAGTTCTAATATGAGGTTCAAACTTGGAAACAAGTATAATAAAAAGAGGTGGCTGTAATAAAGTGATAAATAGTAAGTCTTTCTATATTTTTCTGGTCCTTTCAGATTTAGTTTTATTGTAGATTTTACTTTTAATGTAGAAACACGAATATTGCTTAAGTCGGTGCTAGGGAGGGGCAATTTTTGTTTGAGCTTTTAAGGCTTTTACGCTTATTTTCGTTGGTCTCAAAGCAGCTCTCGGTATCTAGATAACTATTTTTCTTTCATATACACTTTGATATAAATGTATAATCAAACGTAAAAGAACAATTTGACATTTCAGAGAGCTTATTCTTTAAAAGTAATGCATAATGTAGGACTGATGTCAATTTGTGTTCATCAGTTTTATCTTTACAGCATTTCACATACCACATATTTTCTAACAATGACAGAGTATAAGCAGCGCACAATTCATGTGTACGGTGCAACCGTAGTTAAGCAAATAGAAACAAGGACAGAGAAATTACAAAAACATTTACATGTATATATAAATAACCAGATTTATTGTCCAAATGACACATAACAACAAATCGTTCAATAAATAAAAATGATAACTGTTTCCTTTCATGCCATGGTATTAATTTTTTTATAATGTCTTATTTGAAACATTCATTAAACAGTTTTATGAATAAAAACACCGAAACTTTGACATAGGTTGCTTAAAATCAGCTTTGTTATGTTCAAACATGATTTATTTATGGACATGTTGTAAGAATTAGTGGCCGTCAGAGTTTGCTCACTTATTCACCAAAAAGATGTCTTTTATAAGAATTCAGATATTGTATATTTGAGTTTTGAACGAATTAAACTGATGGAGGTAAATATATCACAAAGTGGTAAATTCCATATGATTTCATTTTTGAATCAAAGTAAAATATGATAAACAAGATCAACAAGGAAAGGCGGCGTTCAATGAAAAAAATTTCAAAAAAAACTCATCAAAGATTTATATCATTTTCTAAGTAACAATTAATGTAAATGAAACCTTCCAAGTGGAATTTCATTGAGAGAAAAAAAACACATTAGTTTCAGATCTTTATCATATTTTCCAAACATGTGATCATTTAAGACCTATTTCTTTATAAAACAATACGAATAAAAAGTACTTAAAGTTGCATAGCATTTAAAAATATTATGCATTCCAACATAATCAGATTCTACTAGTCACTTTCTTTTTAAGAAATCTGACATAATGTCTAGTAATAAAAAAGAGAAGAAGAGATATTTTACATACATTAAAACGCATGGCGTAAAGGTGATTAATGAAGATTTTGATATAAATAAATTAATAAATATGGCATGAAAATTAAATGAGGAAAACCAGGACTATGTCCTTAATAAGTTTATAAATATATAATGCTCAGATTCTAGGTAAAAATAAAGATAAAAACATGCATAACAACAAAATAATGAGAATAAAAATGAGTCTATAAAATATCTAACAACAACAGACTTATTAAAAAAACTAATAACATTTCTACTGAGATATATTTTAACATGTTTAACAGAGAAAAGAAAAAAAGCACGAGTATATTTGATAAAAAAATGTATATGGAAAATTTACAAAACATTGTTTTTTTATTATTTATCAATGTATTAATTTAAAATGTGTTGTTCTTTTAATTTTTGATACATGTGTAATATCATTTAGAAGTACAATGTATTCAATAGTTGTTTTGTAAAGTCGATATCTTTTGAAATATTGATTCGTTAGGATTAATGCACTTTTAGATTACAGCGTGTTATTTCATTTGCAGTTTAATCGGTCAACAGTTTGTTGTTACGAATACAAAATACTGTAAGCTGTAAATAAATATAAATGCACCAATATGCCAATGATAATAAAACATAATTGCCAGGTTTTAAATCTGTCTTAAACAATCAATCAACAAACTATTCAATCAATTAATCAATCGATTTACGTACTGCATATTTGCAATGATTTTTTTCGATATTCAAAATTAAGTGTATGTGAAAACTATTCCTAAACGTACAATTGATGCGGCGATGAAGTATTGAATGATCAAAATTGTATAATACGTATGTACAATCGACTGATTTGTATGAATTTCTTGGTGCCCTGTTAAAGCGAAATGACCGTCACAGTAAATTATGTAAAGTACTGAATAATCATTTGCTAAGTAGTGCTTTTTTCTAAAATATTTGCATATCAAAGGAGAGTGTTCGGATTTTGCTGCCCTTTCATTTATCAAAAGTTATAATAGTTAGGTTTTAGAAAGAAAACCGTTCAATAGAGATTCGGAAACGTTTTTTTCGCACAAAAAAAATGTGCATACGAATAATTAGAAATAATTTAAATCATGTATTTTTAGTTTGAACATTCAATTAATTTGATTATTTTAATTTGATATGTATTCACACATATATAGTTATAACAATTCAAAGGATTGTGTAAATCGTTTAGTGATGGCATTTTTTTATAAATGAATTCAGATACAGTTCTTTACTATAAGATTTGGTCACCAATGTGCATGGTCTTTCCAATCACTTGTGAAGTTTATTTCTTCGTCGAAATCGTCTGCATCATACTTCATTTCTGAAATGTATGTCTTTTCTCTTCTTGCGCCCATATTTGTAGAGCCGTTGAACCGTAAAGGTAAGGAAAGAAACGTTTTGTTCCGCCACGGCATTGAATATTGTTCGAATCCATTGTATGTATGTTTCCCTGGCAAAGCATTGTGCGTTTTTGATTTCATGTTGTATTTTTCATAAATCTCTCTTGCTAATCTAGTACTTTTTCGCGTGGTGTCTTTATTGTCAGTAACTTCTGGAAGTTCTTTGTTCACTGCAATTTTGTTATTTGCTTTCATGGATGACGTTCTACGTTTGTAAGCGGTGTGAAGGTCCATTCCGTTTTGAACTACAACACCATTTGGCGACGGTGGTAGGGTCGTTCGAGCTTGACTTAGAGAATCTCTAGATCGGTCACTTCTAATTCTATTGTTTTGTTTAGCAAGCTCTTCTTGGCCATGGCTGTATGAAAATTTTACAGAGGGTAGAGTTGGGCTTGCCATTTCTCCTCTTGGACTCATTTCGCCCTGTATTATATAAAGAGAAATCAGTTATTAAGTTATATAGAAAATATTGATATGAGCTAGAATAAGTATAGTTAAGTACTAGTATTCATTTTGAATTGACCAAAATAGTTTCATGATATGTCCTCATGTTTATTACGGTCGTTTTATTACGTTCTTGTCCAGCGAATGTGACACGGACAGGGATACATGTGTCTCGAGGACAGGGATATAGCGGGGTTTTGTTGTTATATTTCTCTTTATTTTTTTATTCTTTTTGGAAATAAAATATGAACATATGTGGTAATACTTATTATAAATGTCTATCTTATTGTTTTTCTTCAAAAGTACGTCAACAACATAATTTTGTGTCTCTTTGACGTGAGTATCAACAAACTGAGATTGGGCGGTGACGGTGAGGGTTATTTAAATTTGGTTAGCTCGCGGCATGAGTCTCAAGTGATGCCTGTTCAGGACTTAATATCATATTTTAAACACAGATAAAGTTATTATTATTTTTACTTTTGTAAGGACGAGCTTATTTTCATATTAAAGTTCACATTGTACCGAAATGCGGTCACCACGTTCGCATACAAAGCATGTGTCCTTGAACGCGGTAGGCTAATTCTTTTTTATCAAACAAGTATCCGTTTTCAAGTTAATTATTTCTCTCTGATCTTAGAGATATTACTGGTGTCAAATTATCTACTCACTGAACTAAACGTTTCTAATGATTTCAAAATTACATTTGACCGTAGGGATATAGATCATTATTTTGACACCTTTGGCAGTAATGCAATCTTACGACAAGTGTTGTTTTGTTTATGTCTATTCAAAAGTTTTGACCGTTAAATAAGTTAACACCTTTGACCGAATTAAATTTCGTATTTTTGTTCCACTACAAGTAAATTATCCAAATTATTTCGAGAATATACATGTATAATGTGATAGGAGATTCACGTGTTTGCTTAGAGATAAAAAGGCATTTTGCTCACAAAAAGACACTGACTAGAATTAGAAGATAAAATAAAAAAAGAAAAGTAACAGATTAAAAGTGTTTATTATTTAATTATAAACTTTATTCTTTGTAAATTACAAAACAACAATACGAATTGTGTACATTTCAAGTACGTTCATTACTTAAAGAATATGTTCAAAAGGTGTAATGTTTTATTACGACATAAGATATTAGTACATGTAACGTTTGGATTTGTTGCTGTTCTTTTAATTAACAAAGGTTTATAAAATAAGCTACTATTAAAATATCGAACTGAAAGCACCGAGCAACGTATACTTAAAGAAATACAAAATGTCCTTTTTATTAATTCACAAATATTCTTTTACTTTACATAGCTTTATACCATAAACTATTATTATAACATCGAACTTAAAGCACCAAGCAACGTGTACTTAAAGAAATACATATATCTTTCAAAAAAATGTCGCTTTTCACACGCAGGCTCGATACCACGCTCTTCCACCGATAATACGAATGGTGTTTTGGATGAAACATAAAAAACCGAGGTCCCTGTTATCGGAGTTCCACACCGGGCAAGTTTTCTCTAGAACGGGGGCAACTGCTGTATTCATATAATTCATCCAAAAAATAAAACAACTAACACTCCATAACATTTCAGGGGGCAACCGAAATGCGACGGTAAATAAACAAAAGAGCAAACAAAGAAACAATCAAAAAAGCTGAGCTTAGGCTTCACTGGGTACAATTTGGCGGTCAATGAAATATATATTGCTTGTCTTATAAAACGATACATAGGATATTGATTAGGCTACAAAATAATATGTTATCTGATTTAGATTACAAAAGTAACGATTATGTAATTGAACAAATCTGATAAGCTGATAAAAGCTGCGAGTCTTCAGATAGATAAGCAACTTATTGAAAAAAATCTAACGTCAGATAAATATATTTATAGATTAAAAAATGTATAAACATACAATACACAAGTGACAATTAGCATGCTTTATGCAAAACATTACATAATATTTTTGCACCATAAATTTACCCTGTTTATGTGTGTGTGTTTGCTTTTGTTTACCCTCGCCACCGGAAAGAGACCATATGGGCGAGCACCAGTTAAAACAATAAGGTCTGTTTCTACATACTTTGATATATTTTAAGTGATTTATTACAAACAGATAGTACCTTACACTAACTGTTATCACTTTATTTGTACACTTCATATTCTTCTGCTTTTAAAATAACACGGGCCTATAAACGTACTACTTTAAACAGGGGGTCAAGGGGTCTAGAAGTCATCTGAATATCCTAAGGGGTCTAAGTGTCTTCCTTGCCTTTAAGCATTGTCACGCTTAATATCTTAGATGAACTTATCCATTTTTTAATCTGAACAAAACCATTAAACATTTTAGGGAAAACATCAAAATATTTACAGACTGAATAGCGAACAGTACAAACCATGATTTGACATTAGGGTGGTCGCATAGTTGATAAGTAGGGTAAAAATTAAAATCTGTTTCTAATTTCAACAGACGGAAAGTACAGCCAAAATTGCTACAAAGTCTTTCGATCAGATTTTAAAATTTTAAATCGAGGTTATGTGTTAATGTGTTTTACACCTTGTATCGAACAATAATTTCTATGTCAGTTCCGACTATAAATGAACGTTTGTCACGACGTGTGCATGCCTGATCAAATAAAATATAGTAACATATCAATACAAGTCGCTCTTGTTATACAATAATCTAGTAAAATAGATAAATACAGAATCCCTAAAGAAAGCCCAACACGGCAAAATTGAAAATGTTGCAGGCTCGGTTTGATTGAGCCTGTTCATGGACGGTACTGGAAAGTGCAAGTTACCGTCCACGCCCCCTAGCACCGGCTTAAGCAGAATTCAACATTTAACATGAACTGGTAAAATTTAGAATTTTGAAACATCCGCAGATGTAAATGGAGAAAAACAGATTCCGTAAAGAAAGCCTGAGACGGCAAAATTAAAAATGTTGCGGGCTCGGTTTGATTGAACTTGTTCATGGATCAGGTACTGGATAGTGCAAGTACCGCCAACGTCCCCTAGCACCGGCTTAAGCAGAATTCAACATTTAAACACGAAAATGGGGATGTTTTGAATTTAGAGACATCTGCAGATGTGTTCATACGGCGGTTATCATGGAAAACACATCAGCTTTTGAATTTAAAATGTACATACTGTTTTATAGATTGTTTGAAATAATACAGTTATCACATAAAAATAAAACCTTTTCAAACATTTGTTGTTTTGGTACAATGTATATTGAGTTTTCTTCATTTTACTCTTGCTATTTACATAAAGCGTAACACTTTCTTGATGAATATTGCTAGACAATTAGAGTGTGTCTTCATTTTAATACTGATTTTAAGATAATTTTTATGCTCATAGCATTTTTTTTTTGAGACCAGATACTGCTTTTCACCATTGTATGTCTGAGATGCTTCTAAATTCAATTTATCACCACTATCACAATTACATTTTGCATTCAGCTTAAGCCGGTGCTAATGGATGTAATCTGTAGCTTGCATTTATCACTATCGCCTATAAACAGGTTTAATCAAACCGAACCTTCAACATTTTCAATTGCGCTGTTTTTGAGTAGTCTTTATTGGTTACTTTTTTCTATTTTCAATTGATAAATATAAAAAAAAACCAAAAAAAAACAACAATTAAATTGACAAATTTTGGAACAATGATATTGGGGTGGGGGGAAGGGATTATAACTTACCGTCAGTGCTTTCATATTTTCGGCGTTTTGCCATTTAGTTGTGTCGCCATAAGGTTCCGGCGTCACTTCACCGACGGTTACCCGGCAGATGTTTCCATTCTCCATAAACACGCTGACATTCTGTCGCCAGTTTTCAAGAAACCGTCTCTTGTTGGTACTTAGGTTTTCCATCCCAGAATTGTCCTTGGTTAAATTGTAATTCCTCATGATGGCTGCATATGGTGTTATAAATTTCACTCACTGTATAATTGTCAACTTGTCCATCATCTTGAGGAATATTTTGCAAGAATGCGTCTATATCCATTTATTTTATAATATCTGATGAATACTTCGTACATTTAAAATGAAAGCTTTGCGTCAAACATGTTAACTATGACTTTACCATTTCAACACTTTCATTTCATTTTAATTAAGCACTTTTAAAAACGATCTCCTTTTTGTAAATTCACATAAATTACGACATGTTAGGAATGCAACCAAAATTAACACATGGTAAGTGTAACATAACAACTAGTCTTTTGTTTAAGGCCGATTTTTTAAATAAAGATATCCAATAAAGTATTAATATATATAAACTTTTCAATCTTTGTTATTGCTCGGATCAAGTTACAACCACTTATTTTAGATAATTAGTTTGCTATTAGTGTAATAATAGACGTTGTATTCAACAACGTTTAAAGACTTCTTAAATACAATACACGAATGTTAAATTGACATTGCCGGTGATCCAATCTTAAGTCATAGATATATAGATAATACTGACAAATAGAATAGTAAACATGATAATTACCTATAAACATACATTTATTTCGATATTTATCATTTCCTGCTATCGGTGGGGTTTCAACAAATGTCTCAATGAAATACCATAAATTAAAAGCTTATCTTTATGGGATGATTAATATATCAATGTTTGTTATATCCTTCAATATATTAAATTAACTTAAATGGTATAATAATACGATATAAAACTAGCATTGTCCATGTTTATTCAGGTGCTCTTGTCGTTGTTGTTTTTCTACTAACCACAGTAATGTTGAAATGTTTTTATTCGATGTTGAGGTTAAAACTTTTTTTTCAAATAAAAGTAATTATCTAAACAGTAAGCACATTTTCCTTATATCCAGATATCACATCGCGTGTCCGTTTCAATCTTGAATCTTTCAATTTTATTCCAGATATCTTTGAGCGCGTGAGAATTAAGCCAAAAAAATAAGTTTCCTAAAGATACATTTTTTTCTTTCTTACATCATCCCATAAGTACATGATAAAGTGTCTACATTTGTATCAAGCTGGCCTGTATTTGACCTAAGTCTTTAGAAGATTAGCAGTAATCCGGATAACGTTTGTCCCACAGCGGATTAAATTCGGTCAACTACTGTACATTTTCATACATGATTTTCAACCTTAATACACAAAACAAAAGATAACGTATTAGCACATATAGATAAGAGATAGAATGGAAATGTGAATCGTGGACTTTCAATGTGGATTTATCATTTAACAATTCCACCTATCACCGATTTCAGCTTTTCATTCAAAGCTTAAACATTCCGCTTCACCTCCGATTTATCCATCTATAAGAGCATTTGAGCCGCGCCATGACAAAACCAACAGTCATGGATCACGTGACTTCCTGATCAGACTGCGTCACAGCCGCGCAGTCTGATCAGGATCCATGCTGTTCGCTTACAAACCATATTAGGGGGCAGGGGACCTAAAAATGAAAAATTTTGTATTTCAGTGTGACCAGAAACACAATTCCAAATATTTCAAAATCTGTTTCACAGGCAGATAACCAGTTGCACAGCATTATTCAATGATATATGACATACATTGAAGAAAATAATAGTTTGCATGCATTGCTCCTTCAAAAAATGACTGACAGCAATTTATATTTACCCCCACCCAGCCAAAATCACACCTAAAATATACCAATATAGGCAATCTTCATGAAGGTGCAGCATACTCCAGAATCCGCCCGATTCCTTTAAAAATATCAGTAACACGCAGTGCAAGCTATGGCATTTTCAGAAATGACAAATAAAGTGTCTGTCATACGTTTAGATTTTTCACAAAATTTATCTGAAATTTCTTACTTGTTTGGCGCCAACTGTCAAAGCTTGATTTTTAACTTTTTCACCTCCATTCGGAGAGTCAGAAATACATACAAAGCTACCAAAATGCTTAGTTGCGGGTAAAAACCCAAAAATATATCTCATTTCCTACACACAAACAAGAAAGAATTACAATGACAGAGAAATATCAGAAGTTATCAGTACCTTCAAAACACCATGTCTGAGTTAGGTGGCGCGATAGCTCAGTTGGTTAAACCACTGACTATCACTCCTGAGGTCCCGGGTTCGATCCTGGGTTACACCCTTGGGATTTTTCAGAGACACTTTCAGTGTTTCCCACCTACATAGAGGTGTACTGGTAAGAAATCCAGGTAATCCTCGCATGTATCAGTGCTATACACTGGGCATGTAAAAGAACCAAGGGGTCTATTCAATAAGAGCTAGGGACTGGTTCCCGGATTCCCTTGTATCTTAAAGCTGTTTCTTAAATGTATACAATGTATACCTGCCTGTAACACTCGTAAGAGGGGTTGGCAGTATCCAGAGATAGATAGATAGATAGAGTTATTAAAAAATTTGACCGGGGCCATCATTCGAATATGTCCCCTGCCCCCTTACAAGTAGAGAAACTGATAGCGGGCAGCATTTATCCTGATCAGACTGAGCGGCTGTGACGCAGTCACAATTTTATTGATGACACTTAATGCTGAATTGTACATATTATAAGTATTAATGAAACTTTTTTTAATTTCAAGATAATTTCTTGATGGTGTTGCAGCTGATATTTTTGCTAATGCCATCACTATTGTTGCCAATCACAATCGAATTTCGTGTTGTTTTTATTGTTTTTTTTTGTTTTTTTTTGTTTTTTTTACGAATATTCGTTATTGTTATTTTAAAAGATGTTCTTACTGTAGCATGTGTTATTATTTGTTTTCTACATTGTGCTAATTCTATTATTTGTTTTAATTTTACTTTCACACTAGCCATGATTTTTTAAATAAAACAAAAGTGTTTATTTTGAAGTCGTATTGTTAAAACAATTTGTTTTATAGCTCATAGAACTTTTTGTTGTAAATGTGTTTGGAATAGATTGTATAGGCACTGCAACCCATAACGTTTACTGGAGGATGAGGTTATTATATACTTGCACTCCAATTAAAGCACTGCCTATAGAGTGTCAAGAAATAAGAAATTGAATTGAAATGAATGTATATACTTCATTTTGAGAATTTATAAATATATTTTGATTCAGAACTTCCAAGGTCAATTTTTAAATCCAGAGGAATATGGATGAAAATAAATGTTCACTGTTAACATTTATTTGTTTATTTAAAGACTCCATTTCTTACAGTCAATGTATGTATTCCTTAAAATAGACTTGCTGGACCGGCTATGTGACCCATAGATTCAAAAATGTTGGTTTAAAGATAGTCACCTTGTACAAATAAGATAACCTCGATTTTCGATGCTTTTCTTTTACATTTATATCTACGTAATAGAAAGAGCACCGAAACACGAGGCTATCTGATTTGTACGAGGGGGCGTAGCCCCCGAGTATTAATCAGATTGCCGAGTGTTTTGGTGTTCTTTCTCTTTTGTATCATAGTCAAACATAAAAGCATGTTCCCTGTTGTCACAATATGAAACCCCGGCAAAAATGAACCAATGAACGAACATCTGAATATGACATTTCTGTCGCTTTCCCTTTCTCTGCCGTCACAATATGTAAACTCCAGCAAAAATGAGCCAATCAATGGGCATGCTCTGGAGTGCGGGTAACTAATACCCGCACTCCAGTTAACGCACTGTGCATGTATATGTATACGATTTAACCCGGACACATTTTCAACAGAAAGGTCTCCAAACTATGTTACAATTATCTTCATTATGTGTTGTACTTTATCACATGACTTTTGTTTACAAATCTTTATTTTGTACGAAACAATGGAAAGAAAGTGTGATAAGGAAAGTAAGCTTGGTACTGTAGGCATTCATCATCATGATATATGCACTTCTATACCCAATAATTATAATACATTCAAGCAAGACACTTTTTAAAGTTCCAACACAAGTGTTTGATATCATGAATTGATATTGTACACATTTCTGCTCTTCAATGTAAACGGGAATAAAAATGCTTTCCTTTAATCATGGCACTCTTTTTATCATTTATTTTAAATGTCCGACAACAAAACATCAGAATTGAATCTACGAAGAAAAGACACATGTAATAAGAAGAACAAGTACAACTTATTAAAATATATTTTTGGTTTAATGTATTTATAAGATTTGTCAAAATTCATTCATAATTGAGTTCGCGTTAACCAAAAACCGAAATATATTCTTTTCTTTCTTATTTACGTATTAAATTTAAACTAAACTTATCACAACGAAAGAGGCATAGAGATTTGCTCAAATTGTTGAGCATGACCTAAAATAAGATTGGTACAAGTTGGATTGTATTCACTTGTGGTAATGCCTCATATAAGGTTGCAACGATTAGTTGAACAAATTGAGTGAAGCGTTGGATTGATATGCTCTCTTAAATTGACTTTTTTCAAAGTCATAAACTCAATAAATAACCATTTTTGCTTAACTGTTTAATACGGAATGCGCAATATTTATAAAAAAAATAGTTCCATTTAAACATAAACGGACTACGTTTTTTATGAAATATTCATAAAATCATAAAACAGATGTCATCTTATTCAAATTTTTAAAAAGTCTGATCAATATTTGGATTACAAAGCACTATGCTATTATATATACATGACTTATTTAAGATCAAATCATCCGTCAAGAGAAATTGATATCATATTAAACAATTTTCTCGAATGCATGGGTGATTTGCATGTCAGTTAATATAAGTCAGACTAAATTTACAAGATTTGTAATTCAATTTCAAAAGCGACCACGCGGAAGGAAGGTTTTGATCATTTCTTCTCAAATTACAAAGTAAACAATATATTATTATCAGATCTATGAGTGCAATATCATTTAAATAACAAGAGAACAAAGCGTGCTTGATATGTGCATGCATGTCTTGTCACAATGAAAGTACGTTGTCAACATTGTTCCTGGCACGAGAGCAAACAAACGGACATTGTGCTTATTTTAGGACAATACAATAACAAAATTGAAAGTATTCCGTTCTATTAAATGCATAGTACCAGCCAAATTATGGTTTGGCAACGACATTAAGGGATAACTTCGTGTCCTTAGCATATTGACCAGTGACTTTAAGCATGTGTCGTTCAATTTTCGTATAGAATTCGGTAGCATAGGAAAAAAACAATATCAAAACTTGGTTGAAGACGGCTGTTCCTTATTTTGTCAAGAACAATTTGGACATATAAACATATTTTTTTCAAACTAAAGGGAAAAGAACAAATACATTTAAATTTGTACATGCAACAAAAATAATTATAAAATACTATTATAATAATATAAAAAATGAATTGTCGATACTTTTAGAAGTATGTCAAAATGTCATGGTTCGGGTCGCTTGATAGTGTGTCTGTTCAGATAGTTCAACACGTGGAAGTTATACTTTCTCAACGTAGACTCAATATCGACGCTTGGATAGTTGCCTTTGTGAAAAGACAATCCACCAGGCAAAAGTTTATAAAAAAATTGTTTTATGATACATGAAATATAACATGATCTGCATGCCAATCCAACGTTATAGGTCTATTGTTTTAGTATTGCACATTCATTGAACTTTCCCGTTTAAGACATGTCCTACTTACTCTTGATCACTGATAATTAACATTTCAAACCTTTATCAATTAATGCATGTGATTATTAAATTTAAGTGAAATTCTACCTTTTAAAACTTTTCACTGTAAGAAAAAAGGAAGACAATGATGAAAAATACCTTTATATGCATTTAATATTGTATTTATCTACATAAATATGAGAACCTAAGTAAATTCAGTAGCTATAAGGTTGTAATCAAACTATATGAAACAAAAACAATGTTAAGCGAAATAAATAGAAAACTACCTTATAAATATTTGCTTTTTGTAATTGATTTAAATAGATATTTATGTTATAAATTATAACTGTTAGCGAGTGTCTAAGCACATGTTTTTGTATTTGTTTCCACGTGTCTTGAAAAAAAAACTTTCAAGTTTTGATTTTGCAAAGTGTAACTTATTGCTAGAGAAAAGGGGTGGTGGTGTATTAAGCAAAATATACTTGGCAATTGGCGTCGCTACAATTCAATT